TACTCACATGAGTAACTGAGTACTCACTGAGTAACAATACTCAGAAATTGTTAGTAGTACCAATATGAGTACTCATGGACGAATTATGAGTAAAGTCGTACTCATCGTATGAGTACTTCCACTAGGGGATTTTTTAGCGAACAACTCAATATAAATCAAAACTGATACATAACTTTTTCTCTACAGACACTGTGATTAGAATGAAATAAGAAAGGCTGCTTACTCTTCTTAATAGAAAAACTAGATAGATTTACAAACTGGACAGCCTGGAGAATCATCTTCTGTAAGCGAAAAAAAGTCATCGACAACTATTTTTTCTATTATCTGTATCTTCTATTATGGATGGAGGTACAACACACATATAGATGGTCATTTAATTAAGAACCGAAAGTGATCTCTTCTTTAAAAGATTAAATTGATTACGCAGTGTAAACACCGATATTTGGTGCATAAAAAGTTTTGCTTTAACACTCAATTAACAAGAAAAATTGCATTGTCTAAAAATCAGAGCTGAACAACTTAACTCCGGAGTTGGAGTTTACTTTTTAAATGACCGTAGTTAAGTTGATGACAGATTTTATCAACTCCAACTCCGAAACTCCCATTCAAATTTTCTTCAACTACATCAAGTTCCTGTGGAGCGTGTTTTTTTCAAAATCAGGTTTTTAGTTTCGATCATATCGTAATAGTATGACAAAGAATATGCCTTCAAAAATTAACATTGTTGAAATGTAATTTTGATTTATTATAATGATTGTTTTTTTTTGTATATTATTATAAAAGAAAAGATGACCGTTATACGGATGAAGTAAAAAGCAGGAGGGGAAAAGAACGAATAGATTTTTTTAATTCGGAGTTGAAGTTGTACCTAGTCGAAGTTGCCCGACTCTGCTAAAGATTTGCTTCATAAAGATAACAGCAGATAAAAAAAATGTTTTCCAATAACTAACAAAATATTAGATAATGAATACTTTAACGTGTGAATAGTTAGTTACTTTTCTCAAAATCAGTGACACATTCAGAATCAGCTCGTCGAGCTGACATATCAGGAAAGAATTTATCGATAGAAAATATCAGTCAAAAAAAAAGGAAGTTTACCTTCAATTTTCCATAACTATTATTTTTGAAGAAAAATAAATTCACTTTTTTATCATTATGTGAGGACTCTAGTGTTGTGAAGTATTTAAAATAGCTCAAATGCCGGAAAAAAATTTGATTTTTCGCTTAACAAGCTGAAAATGCACACTGCAGGAAGATACCAGATTCGATCGTTGTACATATTTTCTACCTGATTCTTATTTAATTACTCTTTATGTTCTCTTGAAACATAATTACCTAATTTTTTTTAAACAGATTTTGTTGCTGTTGTTGTTCTTTCCCAGTTTTTGCGTTACAATTCGTACTATTATTTTGTGTTAGACTATAGATTTTAGTTGTTGTATTTCGAAAAAGTGGTTGTGAACATGGTGGGAACACATTGATTTGAAACACATGGAAAAATAATTTTAAAATAAAATTTGTTGAATTAGATGGTTTTAACCAAATTGATTCAATTTTTCCAATTAATAAATGATAAATAAACTGTTTTTTCTCATTATTAATTGATGTCGTCGTGGATATAAGAAATATTAATTTTGTCAAAACTTGAAAAAAACAATTTCACTCTTTAAAAAGTGTTGTTCATCAAGATTTGGTGATAAATCATAAATTATATCGAATAAATAATGCAGAATATAATCGCAAATAAAATCATCACGTCCAACATCGGTTAATGAAATATCGACATGGGATGGACACCGACGATGAAACAAGGATGAATGTGAAACAGGTATTAATAAACATACAAGTAATTCATAGCCAATTTTAACACAAGGTATACATTTATAACGCATTAATAATGAATTCGATTCATCTCGAACGCCAACATCACCTAAATGAAAAGATGATGGATAGTTTTAAGTTAAAAGGCAATAAAACACTTCATACAGGTCGTCTGCCACTGAATCGATTATAGCCAGAAGACAAAATGAACCAAAGTGATTATTTCTTCTCATTTTTATCAATAGTACTATTAAACGTTCTGTTTTAATGTGTATCTATTGTAACTGTTTCATTTGTATTCATTCCTCGATTTTGCCAATATTTAGAAGTGTAGCCATATGAAAATGTAAGAAATAGTTTAATAACATGTTGAAACATTGTTGAATATATCGAACGGTTTGCTTTAATCAATTCATATCATGACAGACACTTTTGATATGTTATTTCTTCGTTTCTCCATATATTGTCCAAGAGAAATGGTGCTAAGAATAATTTCATATGTTTAGTGTTAAATTGATACGATTTTATATTATGAAATAAATTATATATAAATTCACCCCAAGCTTGAAATACATATGAACGTAATTCATAATTGAATGAAATAAATGCTAAAAAATAATAAATAAAAGCAAATTTATTAGTCATTCTGCATGAACAATATACCGTACAAATCGACCTCGAAGAGTAACCGCAATTAGACAAAAATATGCTGCTTATAGTACATATATGTAGTACATAAATTGGTATTGTTTTCTGTATCATTTTATAAATCAAACTTTAGATTTCTCAAAAACATAGAAACAAAAGAATAGGGTACATCGTCGCATCCATACTAAATCTAAAAAATTGCTTTCTTCATGTTTCTGATGAAAATTATATTTGAAGGTTCCAGATGAAACAATAACTTCTGGGTACGTCACTTTCCATTTGTTTGACGGTACTCACCTTGTAAGCCACGTGCAGCCGTTTGTTTATGGGGTAGAGACAGGTTTTATAAGCCATTCGCTTTGCCGTTCAATTTAGAACAAAAGTGTGAAGCGCGTTTTTCGAATTTTCCTTTTTGAGAAAGTACATTTTTTCTGAATTAGGAGCAAAAAAAGCAGAATTCTGCCCGTAAGTCTCGATTTTCTCCAAGAGAACTCATTTCTTATGCAATAAAAATATCATATTCGGAGTTATCGTCGAAAACCGAGCCGAATGATACACTTTTTTAGCCTATCCGATCACCTTTGTTTTTTTCGAATTTTCACGCCTACAAATTACTGAGATTTTCATCCAAAAATGAAAATCAACGGAAAATTTCGAAACATATATCATTCGAAGGTGAAAGGTGATCGGATAGGGTAAAAAAGTGTATCATTCGGCTCGGTTTTCGACGATAACTCCGAATA